AATAGTTTGGAAACAATTCGTATTACTTACAATTAGTAAGTCAGTTAATGTTCAATGTCAAAAGTGCTTATATCCAAGTGTACACTCTATCTCAATGAAAGTATAACCAACCATCATGTAACTTTACCAGATACATTTAATCACACTTTTATACATATGGTATCAATTTAAGTCTATTAGAGTTGAATTCAGTATGATAATAATAACAATCTGTCAAATTGTCACATTTCAACATATAGAATATACTCCATCTCATTCATTTTACAAAATATCATACAAGTATCAAATATGAATACACTCCTCTTGATGAGGAGAACAATCTGTGAGAGTTTCATATTGATGGCTCAGTATCTTCAAGTCAACTAAGGAACATCTAAGGTAATCAATAGGGAACAATCTTAATTTCAAAATTAAATTTTACCATCATATCAAAATCATTGAATAATGAATTAATTATACAATAATCATAAAATCAATTGTTATATTCATGTCAGTAATCAGTGAAGGTGACACTTCTATAACCTTAGTATGCACATCTCAATATCTAGACTGTCAATTCCGCTGGAACTTGAAATATTACCTATCTAGATGATATAGTGATGACTCTCCATTGTAACATGCATGTGAAATTGAATGTTGACACTTTTCATCTTGTTATATTTATAGAGATGGTATCCAACAGAGTCAGTTCATAATATTAAATATTGAAACTCATTCTATATGACATGTTTGATGTATAGAACGGTTTTTTATTGAATGTAATCAGTTTGAAATAATTTGATGAAATTGACACTGTCTAGTCACCATTACATGACAAATAGACCATAGTTTACATTCCATCTCAGTCATTTCAACGATTTATTGATTAATTCTACCACCATTATGTTTCTCATACATTTTAGTACAGTTTATATTTCAAGAGTGATTTCTGTGTAGATTATTATAATCGTAATACCTTGCAATACCAATAAAACTCAATAGAAGAGTTAATTCTTCTCATTTTCAAATAGATTATTCAATATAGAACACACTAGATAGTTTCCAGATTTTAAAAGTCAAGATGCTATATATGGTCTTTGATTAAATTTAAAAATAGACTGCCGTTAATTACTGGAATATTAATTCAAAGCTTGTTGAGCAAGCTATTGAAATCAAACCGAATAATGAATATTGATCATTGAATTGGAGAAGAATCTATTGCATTCAAATCAACCTGATTCAATCTACAAAGGTTGGTAGTTGCACCACTACGTGGCGAAACTACCCATCCACGATTAATCAACATGTGATTCACTTCCATTCAACTCAATTTGACCGTTATGATCAATAAATCAATGAAATGTTCCTTTATTAGCAATACCTATTCAATCTAATGAGTAGATTCACGTCCCAAACATTTGAATTCTCAAAGTCCATATTTCAAAAGTTAGTTCTGACCTGACCTTTAAATATCTATCAATATAATAAATGAAACCATCAAATTTACATCATTAATAGATGATAAGAAATATAATCAATGATATGAATCTTCACTAAGTAATCTCTTAAATAACCCAAATAAATCAACTCTGAATCCTAACCAAACCCAAGTTTTTCTGACAAATACTAAACTTTATTGATTATCTCAATATATATAGAATATTACACCTTCGTGTTTTTACCACATGTAGATCAGACTATTATACATCACATTGATAAACTATAAGATCTGAGCATGTGCGGATCCCAAACCAGAGAGATAATGACAGGTACCAAACCCACAGAAAAAAATGAAATACAAAAAGTCTACTAATAAAGAGTTCTTACCAAGAAATCACCGAAAAACTCATGTAAAATGAAGAATGGAAAATCACTTTTAAGGGGTAAATAAATGTTATCTGAACAGATAAATGAATTTGCGAGGAATTATGATGAAAAGGATGTAGTGAGAATGGGATTTGATAAAGACAGGATGTGTAAAAAACATGAGGAGGAGCATGATGAAGAATAAAAGGGAAATGATTTTTCTAACATAGATAAATATAATTTTTGTTCACATATATATATATATATATATTCACCAAATAATTTATCAAAAAAATAAAATACAAAAAATCAATTCTCATATAGCAACAAAATAAATTGTGAAAATATACAAAAATTATATTCAAACTCGAATTTAGATCGAGAAACACACTAAACCACCAAACGGTACTACTAAGTATATCTGTGGTCAGGTTCTCGGCGCATTTTTGTGATGCTCCCAAAAAACATGGAATGCTCCCAAAGCTGATTTACCTGTAGGGGTAATTGGATGCGCCAATAACACCGATTTATTACTTAAGCAAATTCACTCAACTTCAACAAAGCATATCTCAATAACAACACTGGATGTTATAGAAACATACCGTATGGTCATTATTAATTATGTTAACAATCATAATATCAAGTTTGTTACGGATTTGGCTCTTTAGTTATCGAGAAAAGTGATTTCAAAATTTTCATATGTGGTAGTAAGACGAGCATGTTTTCTTGGTTAATACAAATAACTGATATTCAGTAAAACAGAATCTTGTAGAAAACATCAATTAGAACAAGAATAATAAATAATATTTTTATTTCACTAAGTATTAAATTTAATATTTCCTTTTTTGTAAGGAGCATTGTAAAAATACGGGGAAAACATATAGTAATATCAATAAGCTCAATTGAAGAGTTAATTTTATTTCTTCTGATTTTCATATAGATTATTGAATATAGAACACATCTAGCATGTTTCCAGACTATAAAAGTCCAGATCCCAAATATGGAAATATGAATTCTTGGCGACAGGGCAAGTTTTTCTGACAAATTCTAAACTTTATTGATTATCTCAATAAATATAGAATATTACACCTTCGTGTTTTTAACACATGTTATGCGCCAATATTAATCACACAGTAGCCATTCCAATTTTAATTCTTGGCAGTGAAGGTCCATTCCAATTTTCACCACTTGCCTTTTTTGAAAAATGAAAGGACTTTGAAATATTTCTTAAAAATATTATATCAACATCAGGTATATCATGCCTGTGTTGATTCTTGGAGTAGTTTCACATCTATTAACTCCAAGAATTTCACCACATCATCTCATCATCATTTAAATAATATTATTAATAGTAATTTTTGGAATTCAATCCTTCATCATGATTTGGAAATAATTTTATTATTTGGAAAAATTCAAGTTGGTACATCATCATCGGAACAACTACCAACCATCATCATTGTTATTTATCATCATTATAATAGTAATATTTGTGGAAATAAATCTGATAATAGTATTATTTTAGTGAAATTTAATATTTTCACTAAAATCATCATCACTGCCAGATTCACATGATAATTTGGAAAACTTTCAATCTAGTATTGTTCAGCATGGTCGATTCCATCAGGTAAAATCACTTCCGAACATTTTCCTATTGGTTATCATGATGATAGGTTCATGTATATTTTCAACATGTACATGGACCATATCTCAACATGTACTTCACCAACTTGGAAAATGTCTTTCATCACTACTATTCAAATACATAATAAACAATATATTTATTATCAGTTTTTCATCATTTTGTATTTTTTGTCAACTTCGGGTTATTCATGGTCACCAATCATGATTCATGCCAAAAGTACACAGCCAATCATCTTGAAACATTAATAAACTTTTATTAGTACTATTGTAGATGTACCATATCAATTATTTCGTCTTGTTTCGTTGAAACCATGAAGATTTTGATTTTTCTGTTTTTATTTAAATTTCATATCACCTACATTGTCTCCTATGGTGAAAAGTGTTTTGGCAGGATGTACGCAATACATAGTCGATACTCTATTCATTGTTTGCTGTTTTATGGTGTATTCGAGATTTTGAAATTTTGAGAAATATCCAGAGGTAATTCACCAAATAATTATAATTCCTCTTTAAATGAAATGAGGAGGGATTCATGCTATGATTATTTGGAAGAGCCACATAGACTATTTATATATCACAATGATAAGTGATAAGATCTGCTCATGTGCGGATCCCAAACCAGAGAGAAAATGACACGTTAACAAAGGATTATCCATTCCACAAAGTTTATAGCGTTCCAAGTTTGTTGCCAATCAGTTTATTCCTCATCTGAATATCATCCCAAGCCGTCACCAACCTCTCTGA